TGTACAACGAAATATACTTCTGCAATCCTGATTTAAATGAGTAGGCGAAAGACAATTGGTACATATTTTATTCTGTTCTACAAAATCAACTCGCTGCTTAACAGTTAAATCAGAGAATTTCTACAATTTCTTAGATAATGATTTTCGTTGCAAAATACACATAAGTTCTGACTATTTGTGTCTGTTCTCTTTTTGATATTTTTACTAGTTCCAGGCTTTTGATCACCTTTGTGACTTGATTCGTTTGCCGACATTTGGTCACGTGCCATTTCTATTCTTTCCAATACTCGGTGTCTACTTTTTAAAAAGTATCCATTTGATGCCAGGATGGCAAATCAGAATCGGATTCTAAAGACTCTTCCCAAGCAGTAATGGTTTGAATAGATAATTTTGTACTGCACAAATATACCAAAATTGGATCCCATTGGTCCACTCGTATACCATGTCCTATTAACATTGATAAACAATCACATATAGTTGTTCTTATCCTGTTAATATCGACACTATTCTCTGATTTGGCTGGCTCTAATTAAATAGAGTTTTCATCTGAATTTCTACTAAAAATTTTTGTTCTCATATCTCGACTTTAAAGCGTTCCAAGCTGGCATATAGTTCTGTTCCGACAAACTGAATTTTCGAACAATTGCCAATGCATCTCCCGAAGTTTTGTTTAGCAAGTGGAAAAACTTTTCAACCTGCGATACTCTGGATTTGTATGATAGAGAACCGAAAACATATCCCTAAATGCTGGCCACTCTTCATAACTACCATTAAAGACCTTAATATCACAAGCAGGAACACGTAACCCTACTTCTGATAAGTCGAATGTAGTATTCATTGGATAAAATGATGAGCCACCTAATGTAGAAGAATGATATGGGTCAGTTTGTACTGTAGGTGGGCTCTTTGCAGCTTTTTAAGAGGTCATTCATACTCGCTTTTGTCAACTGATATTTCTCTCTACATTCTCGAAACCTAGTTCGTGATAACTCTTTAAATTCGGGCGATATTAAGGAATCTGCCGCACTATATATCGCCTCATAGGATGTTCGAATCGTCTTCCAGTCTTCCTCTAAAGATTCTAATTTTGCCTCTACCAAAGATTCTGTTAAATCTTCTGCATGCAATTTTGAGAAACTTCGCATTCATCAAATAAATTATCTGTCTCTATGACAAATTTTGAGTGAGCTTGACTACCCATTATATGTTGAACTTTAATTTGACCGATGGTTTATTAGTAAATATGCTCAATTATTACCAACTGATCAATAAAAGTGAATTGCTAAGGTTTAGCAGACTTTTTATATTTTTTCCCGTTACGTAGTAACTTATTCTTAAAATATTTCCAATTACCACGTAGTAGTAATTTAGAAGATTGGCAACATTGTTTTTGAAGTGTCAAAAAGTAAAAAAATTTTCTGCAGTTAAAATAATAAAATAAAATATTAATAACAAAAGAAAAATTTATAAATCTGGTTCAGAAATTAGCAGTATTAATAAATTCAACGTATGCTGTTCGGGAATACTGTGTGGAATGTCACTAAGCTGCCTTACTACTGATAGTAATTGTTTTCCCCATAATCTTACAATTGATGTGTTGCTGCTCACGGCCGGTGTCTCACTATTGAATCATTGATAATACCACTAGGGAAGAACCGAAACAACTTTAATCGTGAATAGTAGTATATTATATTGGTCCCATCACTCTCATTATATTATAATACTAAGGTGGGGATCATTAAATTATAATCAACTATCACACATTTGCTCTGTATATTGTTTTGATTTGCTGCCATTTAATTAACATCTGTCTAGTATACATACATATAAAGTGCTGCCAAGTTTATTTAATTACTGAGTATGCCTAAAAGTATGCTGCGGATCAAATGAATAATAAGAGATCTATACATTTAACATCACCAGATTACACCGCAAGAAATAATAATAAAAAATTTGTAAGCTCTGATAACATGCAAACTGACACCCAATTAATCCTCAAGATGCATCCTTCTGGGATAAATTATGTAGTCTGTTGGATGATAAATTAAAAGATGTAACAAGGAAGGCTGATTTAGTTGCACTTAAGATGGATTTTGAGGAATTAAAGGAAGAAAATTTAAAACTAAAAAATGATATTAAAAAATGAGTTTATTGATCGAAAATGTCGTTCACCAAATATCATTGTCTCCGGCTTAAATGGAAGAACTGCAAATTCTGTTAAGACTGAGTTTATAAAACTATGTACGGATGTACTAAATGTCAATGTTCACATAGTAACAACTCGTTTGTTCTCCGGGGGGAGATCAGTTTGTTTCACATTAGAGACGAGTCTTCAAGCGTACAATATAATTGCCGCCAAATCTAAATTATCTGGCCAAAATATATTCATACATAAGGATTATACTGAGGATGAACAAAATGTACGTTATAACTTACGACAGTTAAGCAGAAATATTACAAACAGGAATAAATCGGTCAAAGTAAGACTGGGTGAATTTTGTATTTTTATAGACGATCGAAAGTATATATGGTCTGGTGGAAAGATAATGGCATCCTCAAAGATTAATGCTGAATTCTTGGAAAAAATATTGTCAGAAAGCAATTATCCTGTGGCAATTTCTGTCAGGGAGGATACACATATGCAAGCCCCATCAACTCAATAGCAATTTAGTAAATGCCATTTATTGTCGTATAATGTAGCTAATTTAGCGAATTCAATAAAATTCGGTAATTTTATATCTTATATAAATATGTTTGAATTATTTTTCCTGTTTGAAACACATGTATTATCTGAAAACCAATATCTGTACACAACCTATTTCAAAAATTATTGCCTACAATGGATTCCTGCGAAGAAAACTCAAAGAGCTGGTCGAGCAAGCGGTGGGTGTCTATATGGATTCAAAAAAGAGTTACAAAGCCAATTCCATTTTAAGTTTCAAAATATAAATGATAGTGTAGTACTATCTGCTAAGTTTGGTAAATGTTTATATTATTTAATACCAAGGTATCTGAACTGTTCAAACTGGCAATCGGATATGGATGCACTTGAAAAGTTAATGTATGATCTTAATCCAACAAACTTCTGCGTTTTTGGAGATCTAAATGCGAGAATTTCTGATGAACAATTTGTGGATGAACATTTTTTACAAAAATTTCCCAATATTCGAGAATATAGATGCTCTAAAGACAAAATATATAATACTCAGGGTAAAAAACTTATGGATTTTGTGGAAAACGTAGGTGGTATCATACTTAACGGTAGGACTGATGGCGATGCAGATGGAGAGTATAGTTTTTGCGGTGTAATGGGCAATTCTGTCATTGATTACTTTATATGCTCACATAGTTTTCTCCAATATGTTGATGACTTTGCTATTTCATCCAAACCATACTCAGACCACATGCCTTTATGTTTGAAAATAAAATGTCCTATTAATAATATAAATAATGTAAAATCCACTATAAATAAATTACGCTGGGATAGCAAACATTTGGCGAAATATGTGGAGAATATCACAGTACTATCTACAAACATTGATCTTCAATCCGATATTCCCATTGATGATATCGTTAGTTTAATTACATCGAAAATAAAACAAGCCGCTGTGTTAACATCAAATAAAAAGATTTTTGAACCCAAACAGAAATGGTTTGACTGGAAATGTTTCCGCTACCGAAACCATATGTTAAATGCACTTAAGCACTTCAGAAAAAATCATACAAATGTTGATAAAATAAGTTACTTATGCGCTAAACAGAAATATATAAGATTGTGTAACAACAAGAAACTCGAATACTACAATAAAAATTTAAGTTTACTACATAGAGTAAGGAATTGTAGTGAATGGTGGAGTTTATCAAATTCTATGAAATCTTTCAAACCTAATACTACGGGTAACCTGAAAGCAGAAGACTTCCTAACTTATTTTAGTTCACTGCTACAAAATTCTGCAAATAATCAACCAATTTTGTGGTCCATGCCTTACATCACCAACCCCTTTTTGGATTCACCAATTGAACACTGTGAAATTGTATCTGTTCTGAAAAAACTAAAATCAAACAAGTCTCCTGGTGAAGATGGTATAGCTTACGAGTTTTACAAATATGCTCCTGGTTGCTTCATTAACTTACTACTAACCCTCTACAATAAAATATTTTATATGAGACTATTCCCTCCAGTTTTCGCAAATCTATTTTAATACCTTTATATAAAAAAGGTGATCCTGATGTTACATCTAACTATCGGGGGCTATCTTTAATTAACACTATTTGTAAAATTTTTAGCTCAATTTTGCTGAATAGAATAACTGAATGGATTGAGGTGAACAACATATTGAAGGAATATCAAGCTGGCTTCAGAAATAACTATTCCACTGTTGATAACATTTTTAACCTGGTTAACATTGTAAACCTGAACAAACTGAATGGAAATAACACATACGCCTTTTTTGTGGATTTTTCATGTGCTTTTGACACAATTCCCAGAAATAGTTTATTTTATAAACTGTCGTGTATGGGACTGTCATCCAAAATAATAAGAATTTTGCAAAACTCCTACAAAAACACCTCAAGTTGTATTTGGGACGGTGACTCTTTTTCTGACTCTTTTATTTTTGATACTGGTGTAAAGCAAGGGTGCATCCTTAGTCCAATTTTATTCTCTTTGTATGTGAATGATCTGGCTGATGAACTTCCATGTGGTGTTAATGTTGCTGGTATAACTATTAAGATTCTTCTTTACGCCGACGATATTGTTATCCTATCTGACTCCCCACCAGCTCTTCAAAAAATGATAAATGCATTACATAAATACTGCCAAATCTGGTGTTTAAAAGCTAACCTAACAAAATCAAAGATAATTGTATTTCGTTCAAGTCCGAGAATCTCAAGATCATTGAAATGGCACTATGGAGATGAAGATGTGGAAATAGTCAATAGCTACAAATATCTGGGAGTTGATATTAATTTCAATCTTTCTTTCAATAACCATTTAAAAAATAAACTTTCAGCTTCCAAATTGGCTATTAATACTACGTGGTCTAAATATATTAATAACCCTAAAATCTCCAAAAACAATAAACTAAAAATATTTCAATCTGCTTCTCGGTCCATAATGTTTTATGCCGCCCAAATCTGGGGCTATACCAAATATGATATAGTCGAAAAACTCTTCAGATTTTTTATTAAAAAGATGCTATATCTTCCTCGCACAACGCCAAACTACATGTTACATCTAGAAACTGGTCTGGACTCTTTATATATTTCGACTCTAAAACTCCATTTTGCATATATAAATAAAGTACTAAATATGCATTCACAAAGGTTACCACGTATCCTTGCACAAGCTGTCATATCACAAAATGTTTTCTGGGCTAACGAGTGGACACTTATCAGTCGATCCCTACAATTTATACCTGAAAATAACAATAACCCTCTTTGTACATACAGTAATATAATAGTTGAGCTAATGAAAACAAAAGAACACGGTGAATATGTACTAAGCGCAGAGAACTCTCATCATGATATGTATTCCCTACTCAATTATAATGTTATCCCTATTTTTGCTGCAGAATATTCAACTCGTGCTACTTGCCTGCTTATGAAAGTGAGATGTGGTTTACTTAATTTAAATGGAAGAGCTTACTGTACAAATATAGATACCAGCTGTACTATGTGTAATTTAGATGAAGTGGAGAACACCTACCACTTTATAGGTGTTTGTCCAATTTATAAAGACATTAGGAAATACTTCTTTGGGAAAATTCACCTTTACTTATACGAAGTTCTAAATTTACTAAATGGCTCTAATTTTTATTCTCTCTATAAATATACTGAATCAGCATTAAGGTATCGTATGTTAATTGCAAATGAATTCAATGCATAGACTTAATATACATATTAACAAGTATTATTTAAAAAAAAATTATATTTAATATTGTATTTTATTTTTGTAAAATAACTAAATCCTAAAATATTTAGGCCAATCAGGCTAACACATATATAACGTAAAGCCTATATAGATTAAAATAAAAAAAAAATCCTTCAAATAATTGTAAACAATGAATATGTAAAAACAATATTTTGAAATCTATTAATAAATAAATAAATAATAATAAAGTATTAGTTAAAATTTCAAATGGTTTTTTACGTTACGAGTAACTTCTGAAATTGTTTTTGAATTTATTTTAAACTGATTCAGTTTTCGAAGAATTTGCATGAACCTTATTTACCTAAAATTTATTTAAATGAAATGTCTTTTGAAAAAATTTTTTCTCTTACGTAGTAACTTTTTTAAATTTCGTCCAATTACCACTAGTAGTAATTTTAAATTAACTTTCCAATATCACTCTTTACGTTACGAAACTTGACAAATTATCATCAAAATATATTAATAAAATAACTAATTGTTAAAATGAAATCGCAATGGATTCGCGATGTATTTACGTAATAACTTGGTTGTTATAAATTTTCAATCTTATATAAAACCTCAGCTAGTTTTAGTAATAGCATATAGATTAATTAAACAAATATTGCAAAAGGTATGACCAATTTTCCTTTTACTATTATTATTTCTATAAGAACCGCAGGCAATTTGTAAAATTGCGCGGAAAATACAATATAATTTAGTTCAAATACTTCTTTGTACGGTTCTATAGTTGAATCAAAAAAAGTTGACTTTTCGACTTTTTGCTATTTATGAAAAGTCAGGTTTTCGACTTTTTTGCGTCTAATAAATAGTCGACTTTTTTTTTTTGTGAAATTGATTCTTCGACTTATTTCTTACAAGATAGTTGATTTTTCGACTTTGTTTTAGAGTCGATTTATAGAACCTTACTTATTTGAATGACCGCTGGCACTGTAAATGCGCGGAACTATTTTATAATGTATGTTTTTTTTTTTGTTAAATATTTATGAATTACCACGTAGTAGTATTTTATAAATAATAATTTACTGGGTTTAAACAATTCTAAAATCAACCGCACTTTGATTGTTGGTTATTTCCCACTTTAAAACAATGGATGTACGTACATATGTATGTGTTTTTATTTTTGATTATTTTAATGTGCCAAGAAACAAAACAAAAAAATGTGAGAATATTTAAAGCTCAAAAACGAAAAGGAAAAAAAAATAATTTCAGATAATTAAACTACTGTTTGGTCACCAGTTCAATACAAAGGCTTTTAAGGACCATAAACAAATTTCTGTCTCTAGTAGGGAAATTTGTTGTTGGAGCTGTTTCAACGTAGTTGAAACAACACAAAACCAAAGTTAATTATTTACAAATAATTAACTTTGGAAATAAAATGCAGGTTGCACTTACTTGTGGTTCAAGGTGAGTAAGAACACAGGTTTGGTTAAACGTTATAACTTCCTTTATTTTCAGGTTTGGGTTTTAGGGTTTGTTTGCTGCTGACGCTGCTGAGGTTTTTTTAATAAAGAAAAAAACTGCAATGGCGCTTAAGTTGATTGACAGGACGTCAGTTTTTGACACCTGTCAATCTCCTTAAGCACCATTCAGAAGCGTAGCGAGCAGAAGGGGCACATTTAAAGTAGGGGCTCTATGTCCAAGTCAAGGCAGTCTTCATCTGCTGTCTCGGAGGCGCTGTCGCGGGCCTCAACAAAGTTGGTAAAATTGGGATAATCATTGCAATTTTAAAATTTTTGGTACAGAGTAAATTTCTTAGTATATTGTATTTTCCCTATTCCTGAAAATAACTTTGACAGTTTTCAAGCTACGACAGTTTTGTATACCTCATTTTAATCCATCAGAAACGCACTTTCTTTTGACATATCGCTTATTCAAAAATCTTAAGTTCTTAAAGTTGGAAAATTGGGTCATCATTGCAATTTTTGGTACAGAGTAAATTTCTTAGTATATTGTATTTTCCCATATTCCTGCAAATAACTTTGACAGTTTTCAAGCTACGACAGTTTTGTATACCTCATTTTAATCCATAAGAAACGCACTTTCTTTTGACATATCGCTTATTCAAAATCTTAAGTTCTTAAAATTGGGATATCATGCAATTTTTGGTACGAGTAAATTTCTTAGTATATTGTATTTTCCCTATTCCTGCAAATAACTTTGACAGTTTTCAAGCTACGACAGTTTGTATACCTCATTTAATCCATAAGAAACGCACTTTCTTTTGACATATCGCTTATTCAAAAATCTTAAGTTCTTAAATTGGTAAATTGGGATATCATTGCAATTTTTGGTACAGAGTAAATTTCTTAGTATATTGTATTTTCCCTATTCCTGCAAATAACTTTGACAGTTTTCAAGCTACGACAGTTTTGTATACCTCATTTAATCCATAAGAAACGCACTTTCTTTTGACATATCGCTTATTCAAAAATCTTAAGTTCTTAAATTGGTAAAATTGGGATATCATTAGCAATTTTTGGTACAGAGTAAATTCTTAGTATATTGTATTTTCCCTATTCCTGCAAATAACTTTGACAGTTTTCAAGCTACGATAGTTTTGTATACCTCATTTTAATCCTAAGAAACGCACTTTCTTTTGACATATCGCTTATTCAAAAATCTTAAGTCTTAAAGTTGGAAAAATTGGGATATCATTGCAATTTTAAATTTGGTACAGAGTAAATTTCTTAGTATATTGTATTTTCCCATATTCCTGAAAATAACTTTGACAGTTTTTCAAGCTACGACAAGTTTTGTATACCTCATTTTAATCCATCAGAAACGCACTTTCTTTTGACATATCGCTTATTCAAAAATCTTAAGTTCTTAAAGTTGGAAAAATTGGGATATCATTGCAATTTTTGGTACAGAGTAAATTTCTTAGTATATTGTATATTTCCTATTCCTGCAAATACTTTGACAGTTTTCAAGCTACGACAGTTTTGTATACCTCATTTTAATCCATAAGAAACGCACTTTCTTTTGACATATCGCTTATTCAAAAATCTTAAGTTCTTAAAGTTGGAAAATTGGGATATCATTGCAATTTTTGGTACAGAGTAAATTTCTTAGTATATTGTATTTTCCCTATTCCTGCAAATAACTTCTGACAGTTTTCAAGCTAAGACAGTTTGTATACCTCATTTTAATCCATCAGAAACGCACTTTCTTTTGACATATCGCTTATTCAAAAATCTTAAGTTCTTAAATTGTAAAAATTGGGATATCATTGCAATTTTTGGTACAGAGTGAAATTTCTTAGTATATTGTATTTTCCCTATTCCTGCAAATAACTTTGATAGTTTTCAAGCTACGACAGTTTTGTATACCTCATTTTAATCCATAAGAAACGCACTTTCTTTTGACATCTCGCTTATTCAAAAATCTTAAGTTCTTAAAATTGGTAAAATTGGGATATCATTGCAATTTTTGGTACAGAGTAACATTTCTTAGTTATTAGTATTTTCCCTATTCCTGCCAAATAAACTCTGACAGTTTTCACTCTACGACAGTTTGTATACCTCAGTTTAAGCCATTAGGAAACGCACTTTTGACATATCGCTTATTCAAGAATCTTAAGTTCTAAAGTTGGTTAAAATGGTATATCATTTTGGTGGTTACAGAGTAAATTTCTTATCTTAGTTATATTGTATGTAAAAATCTTAAGTTCAAAATTGGTTAAAATGGGATATAATTGCAATTTTTGGTATAGAGTAAATTTTCTTAGTCTAGTTTGTATATTTGTATTTTCATATCCTTCAAAAACTTTGACAGTTTTCAAGCTACGGCCAGTTTGTATACCTAATTTTTAATCCATTTTGGTACAGAGTAAATTTCTTCGTATATTGTATTTTTCCCTATTTCCTGCAATAATTGAACAGTTTTCAAGGTAAGACAGTTTTGTCTACCTCTTTTAATCCATAAGAAATGCACTTTCTTTTGGACATATCGCTATTCAAAAAAATTTGAGTTCTTAAATTGTAAAATTGGGATATGATTAAAATTTTTGGTACAGAGTAAATTTCTTAGTATATGTATTTTCCCTATTCCTGCAAACAACATTGACAGTTTTCAAAGCTACGACAGTTTTGTATACCTCATTTTAATCCATAAGAAACACACTTTCTTTTGACATAATCGCTTATTAAAAAATCTTAAGTTCTTAAAGTTGAAAACTTGGGATATCATTGCAATTTTTGGTACAGAGTAAATTTCTTAGTTATATTGTATTTTTCCCTATTCCTGCAAATAACTCTGACAGTTTTCAAGCTACGGACAGTCTTGTATACCTCATTTTAATCCATTGGAAAACGCACTTTTTTATTTGACATATCGCTTATTCAAAAATCTAAGTTCTTAAAGTTGGTAAATGGAGATATCATTTTGGTACAGAGTAAATTTCTTAGTATATTGTATTTTCCCTATCCTGCGAATAACTTTGGCAGTTTTTAAGCTACGACAGTTTTGTATACCTCATTTTAATCCATCAGAACGCACTTTCTTTTCACATCTCGCTTATTCAAAACTCTTAAGTTCTTAATATTGGTAAAATTGGGGATATGATTAAAATTTTTGGTACAGAGTAAATTTCTTAGTATATTGTATTTTCCCTATTACTGAAATAACTTTGACAGTTTTTCAAGCTACGGCAGTTTTGTATATCACTTATTCAAAAATCTTAAGTTCTTAGAGTTGGTTAAAATTGGGATATCATTGCAATTTTTGGTACAGAGTAAATTTCTTAGTATATTGTATTTTCCCTATTCCTGCAAATAATTGAACAGCATTCAAGCTACGACAGTACTGTATACCTCATTTTAATCATAAGAAACGTACTTTCTTTTGACATATCGCTTATTCAAAAATCTTAAGTTTTAAAAGTTGGAAAAATTGGGATATCATTGCAATTTTTGGTACAGAGTAAATTTCTTAGTATATTGTATTTCCCTATTTCT